CCCCCCCTTTCTCCTCTGTCCTCCCGACATTTTTTTACACTCTTTCTACTGCTACTCCTTGGCTCCTTCGTACTGCTGTATTTCAACCACACCCCTGATCTTATGGTAAGTAAGATCTAGCATCTAGCTATCTCGGATAAGGGCAAAACATCTCAGAAGACCCGTGTGCAAAACGTGCACGATAAAGATCCCGCAGTGGTCCAGAAATCGGTAAGAGTAGGTTTCGGCCGCCGCCCAGGCAAAATTCAAAATTCCTACCAAACTGAAAATGTATAACGTGTCGCTCATTTATGACCTTATGCAGTTGAGAGCACCGCAAAACACTTACCAAAACCCAAAAAAATCCTCTTCTCGCTATACTTAACGTTGTTACTATCATTCTGTGGGTGTATCGTTTTAAACCTGGGTTGGCCCTGGCACGCAGGGTCGGATCACACTATCTGCTAAAAGTAACCAAACTGTGTCAATCGGGGAGCAAAGCTTTCATAATTACAATTACAACGTTACAAAACTCCCAACCATCCTAGTGAGGCCCATTTGGAAAGATCCATAAACTCATAGTTTTTGTGGGAGTTTTTGCGTCACTTCCAATACGAATAGAACATAATATATGAGGCGAATATTAGAGGTCTTACTAGAGAGTAACATGCAAAGAAAGGAAGGATAAAAAAGGACGATAGATACTGGGCAGGAAAGTAAGAGCGAACCACACCAGAGTATATACCAACCACCCACTCATAAACTCTAAAGTTCCGACTCCCTCAATTCAGCATCGCATTCCTACCTGGAAAAGTCTGAAAAAACTGAACTGGGTTCTGAGATCTTAAAAGAGCTAAAGATGTTCAGGTTTCCAAATTCAGGACGCACCTGGAAAAACAACAATAAATTAGTGAAAATGGTGAAATGGTATAAGTTTAACACTATTCGGTTATTTAAGAGTCGGGGACTCCTAGTTTAACGGCCACTTTTGAAAGGACAAAGTCAAACAAGAATTTTGTGTAAGTGCCTATCCTAAGGTTGCAACGTCGGACCGAGCTGAAGCCCGAACACCCGTTCCCGCAGTCTCACAATTACGGGTCCAGTAGCTTAACCACCAGGCAAAGTATCTTTCTCAAAGGCAAAACTCCTGTGGTCATCTACCTAAATGCCGCACTTTCGACCAGATAAATGTACCTTAGCATAATGTTTGTAACTTAAGATTTTAAAGACATCGATTTGTGTTACGATAAGGTAGAATCAGGCGCACGCATTTTTTGGACACACGCCTCATATTGGTATCAGCTTAAAGCATGAAGGGAAAAAAGTACCCATCTTTATTCTTTATTCTGAGACAGACCTCGTATCTTGGATAGAAGTCGACAGAAGGAGGAAGGGGTCGTCTTGTGTCGTTGTGTCCTTGC